ATGTACCTTACTGTTTTTATATCTATCTATTTATCTATCTATCTATCTCAGTCTTTTTTTATATCTATCTCAGTCTGTTTTTATATCTATCTCAGTCTGTTCATATCTATCTATCTATCTCAGTGTTTTTCTATCTATTTATTTGTGTGTTTTTCTATGTATCTATCTCAGTGTGTTTTGAGATCTGTTTATCTATCTCAGTCTGTTCATATCTATCTGAGAGTGTTTTTCTATCTATCTTTTATATCTATCTGTCTTTCTATCTCAGTCTGTTCATGTCTATCTCTATTTTTATATCTATCTCAGTATGTTTTTATATTTTATATGTATCTTACTGTGTTTTTATATCTATCTATCTATCTATCTATCTCAGCCTGTTCATTATCTATGTCAGTCTCTTCATATCTATTTATCTATCTATATATCTGTCTGTCCCAGTCTGTTCATACCTACTCTCTCTCTCTATCTATCTATCTATCTATCTCAGTCTTTTCATTATCTATCTATCTATCTATCTATCTATCTATCTCAGTCTTTTCAATATCTATCTATCTATCTATCTCATCTTTTTCATTATCATCTATCTATCTATCAGTCTTTTTATCTATCTATCTATCTATCTATCTCAGTCTTTTCATTATCTATCTATCTATCTCAGTCTTTTCATTATCTATCTATCTATCTCAGTCTTTTCATTATCTATCTCTCTCTCTATCTATCTATCTATCTCAGTCTTTTCATTATCTATCTCTCTCTCTATCTATCTATCTATCTCAGTCTTTTCATTATCTATCTCTCTCTCTATCTATCTATCTCAGTCTTTTCATTATCTATCTATCTATCTATCTATCTCTCTCTCTATCTATCTCAGTCTTTTCATTATCTATCTATCTATCTATCTATCTCAGTCTTTTCATTATCTATCTATCTATCTATCTATCTATCTATCTATCTATCTATATATCTCAGTCTGTTTTTATATCTATTTCAATCTTTTATATCTCTTTAAATCTGTTCCTATCTATTTCAATTAATACATATCAAGCAGGAATTTTTTTTCTCCTGAAGGCCATGCTGGCCGAAACTAGTCAAAGAACCTAATTGAAATAATAAAACAAAAAAATATTAATATACAACCCAGTGTGTCTGAAAATTTTAATTTTTTAATTTTTCAATATTTTTTATTGTTCAAAAGGAGTTCAAACTTGCTGTTGAAAACCGAGCAAATTGGAGAAACACCTGCTATCGAGGTATAACTAACTTTGAAAAGAATCCTCTCAAGCATCTGAGAGAATTAAATCTTGGGATAATAAATCAGCCCCTTCAACCCCTCAGTATGCATTTGTGCAGATTTCTTTGCATATCCTGTGCAGGATTATTGTCTCCTACGAAACATAAACATAAAAACTAAACTGAAAGACACTCATACATCAAAAACTTGGTGTGGTTACACCCCTTCATAACCTCCATATAAATAATAATAAACAATGTACCATTGTATATATTACCATACAGACATACTGTTAGTAATATTATCAATATATTATTAATTTTCTAAATGAAGCACGGTGGAGTAATGGATAGCGGCTTGGATTAAGAAATTCAGAGCCGAATTCAAATTCTAATCAAATCCATTACATTCAGTTATGTGCTAATACCCTTGGAAAATGTATGAATCCTCTTCTTCTCCCCTACCAGCTATGGGTAAATAGCAGGACAGACTGGGTGTTTTAGCTTTGGCTGGCAACTGTACTAGGAGAAGGACAACTCTGAATTCAAAATCTGATCCTCCAGGTTGAGGGTTGTACAGTAGGCTAACAACCTACTCACTTAAAAACCTGGCTTGTTATAGAAACCACAACGATATCTTGTTCCTCAAGGAATTTAAAGGCATAATATATATATATATATATATATACTATAAAGTCTAACAATTATTTTAAGACATTTTTAAGTTTATACATTCTTTTTATAGATACAAATATTTAAGTAAATGTTCTGTTTTTAATAAACAGTATTAAACAACATTTACTGGCCTGAATGTCCGAGAAATTTTCATAGAAAATATTCATCCTCTGACAGGAATCGAACCTGTATCCTATACGGAACCATCATTTAGCTTGACATGCCTTTAACCGATTTGGCCACAGAGGAGTGTTCGATTAGCAAGATCAAATTTACTGTATTTGAACTTCAATCTTCTATGAATCTCTCACGTACATTCATATCTGCTCATGGCGTATCAAATGTAAACAAATGGCGTCACACATTATGAAATGGACAAAGTCCGACAATTATTTTAAGACATGTTTATACATTTTATAGATACAAATATTTAAGTAAAATGTTTATAATAAACAGTATTTATTGGCCTGAATGTCTGAGAAATTTTCACAGATGAATATTTTCTATGAAAATTTCTCGGACATTCAGGCCGGTAAATGTTGTTTAATACTGTTTACAGAGCATTTACTTAAATATTTGTATCTATAAAAAAGAATGTATAAACATAAAATGTCTTAAAATATATATATATATATATATATATATATATATATATATATATATATATATATATATTAATTGATTTAAAATATGTTTTTTTTCGCTACACAGTTCTAACCATGTTTCAAAAATGGAAGCTAAAAAAGCCACGAATTTAATTTTGTGATTAAATTAAAGACATTAGTTCCATTTCATCCTCAAGCGAATTTTGGAGTAACTTTTAAAATTACTGGGTTTTAAATACACAGCTAAAACAAAATTCATGTTTCCAAGGTTACAGATAAATCTATTTTTCTAGACAGGGGTGGCTGGGTTTCAATATGTCTATAATTTAATGTATCAGTTATTGCTACATTTGGGTCGTGGGAAGGATGCATTTTTCAATGAAATCTAACTTCCGTTAAAGCCTGTCATCTAGATTTTTTTTATATACATATACATATATATATATATATATATATATATATATATATATATATATTCTAAAGAAGTAATGAATTTTTTATCTGACAGAGTTTTGTCACTTTAAATGTTATTTTTAGTGGATACTCATAAGTAGATGCTGCATTTATTTATTAAATAGTATATTTATTTATTTTCGTCTACTTGCCTGAATATTCAAGAAAAATATGCACACTCCTGCATATTTTCCTTAAATAAGATTTCTCGAATATTCAGTCCACTAAACAAAAATAAATATATTGCTTAAAATAAACAGAACGTCTACTCAAATATGGGCATTCACTAAAAATAATGTTTAAAATTATTAATACTCTTTATTTTAAATCTTTAAACATTTTTTAAGCATTACATTTTTTTAAAATAAAGTTTATGATGAATAAATTTCAGATTTGTAGACATATTCATTTATTTAATGTTTTACTCAATTTGGTTTCTTTCTTTTTCATTTCAGGTGAGTTGAATAAAAGATTCGTTTAAATTGTCAGAACAGGTGTCTACAGGTAAAAAAAATGTTTTTATTTTGATTAAACTTAGTTTTGTTATATCCTGACATCCAGTCACACAGAGAATAGATAGTTACAAAGGAGATATATATATATATATTCTACATTCAACACCATCACTTGATAAGACACCAGAAGTGTTGAAACAAAATGGCTATTTGTGTAGTGATTTTATAACATTTTTATGTTATAATTTTCGAATAAATAATTATATTTGCTCTACTCTGTATTGATCACTCTTTTAAGAATAGTATTTGTTGGTTATTGGAATTTATACGGTATATACCAATCCTATACTTGGATATATATATATATATATATATATATATAATGACAATTACCATTATCATATTTCCAATTATCATAGTTACAGAGGATATATATATATATATATAGAGAGAGAGAGAGAGAGAGTTTGTCAGACGATTGCAAAGGGTGTGGAACCCAGGGTCACAAACTCACATCAATGCAGCTAAATATATATATATATATATATATATATATATATCCAGGTAAGATGAGAACGAATAGAGTACAATTCCAACGTTCATAACATTTAATCTAAAGGAGGGCTCAATACAAAGCAGAGCAATATTATATATGTGTGTGTGTGTGTGTGTGTGTGCTCATGCACCCACTAGGGGAAACAATCAACTGCTTTGAACATTTGTCAACATAGGACCTCCTAATCAAAAAAAAGCCCAAATAATGCTTTTGAACACGTATCTTTCCCAATATTCAGGCCAGTAGATATAAATAAATAAATATACTGTTTAATAAATAAATAAAAACAGAGCATCTACTCAAATATGAGTATCCACTAAAAATAACGTTTAAACTAATAAATTAAAAATATATCAGATTTAATCCACTTCTTAAAAAATTGTCTTTATTCACATTAGGATAGGAAACAAAGCAGATATGTATACATCAAGAATGGGGAAAGATATATGTTCAGGTTTATTCAGGTTTTGCTTAATCAGGAGGTCCTATATGGCCAAAACAAGTCATATATATATATATATATATATATATATTAAATTTTTTTTTTTTCACAACTTCCTTTTATTGTACATTTATCTGTGTTAATTTTAAATCTTCCGTTGAAGCCTGAAGAGCAGAAGCGAAACCAGTTGCTTCGCCCGTTTTTTTTTTTTTGTTTTTTTTTTAAATGCGTCTCGTAATATTTATTGTGGAATTCACTTGACTCACTTCTAGCAGTTGACTGATTCTTCTATGTGCCACTGGTGAATCTTATATGTGTTGTTCGTATCCTAAGTATTATTGTTCATTACCAACCTTTGTGTGATTATTCCATTCAATTACCTTTCCTACAATATATAATACATAAAAGGTTAATGATGAGAGTTGAATCAGACCTGGAAACAGTGGTATGTAAAAGTGCTCAATACATGTGTGATAAGAATAAAATAACAGGTAGAGCTTTTAACTGATTTTTAAAGTATATATATATATATATATATATATTTGTCTATTTATTTTTTTATGGCTTCTCAACCTTTTGCAGGTTACTTTAAAACCAGAAAATATTTTTAGATTGTAAGTATTTGTTTGAGATAATAATAATGATATAGGTTCTACTAATTAACCCATAGTTGTGGGGAATAATAAGTAGATTCTTACCTTTCTCAAGGTTATTTGCATATATGTTAATATAATGAACCTGACTAGAAATCAGCTCTCTGATTCCTAATTCTAAACCATTGTCAATTACATCTGCTGTATATTCAAGCTTACAGCACTTGGTATTTACCCATAGCTGGGGGAGAAGAGGAGGATTCATAACTTTCCCCAAGTGTATTAGCATGTAAGTGAATGTAATGGATTCAACTGGAAAGTCAGTCAGTTATATGCCATGCATGAAAACACACTTAGCGATCATGTATCTAGAATTTGAACTCTGCTCTCTGATTCCTAATTCTAAACCATTGTCAATTACATCTGCTGTATATTCAAGCTTACAGCACTTGGTATTTACCCATAGCTGGGGGAGAAGAAGAGGATGTATCTAGAATTTGAACTCTGCTCTCTGATTCCTAGATCCTAGCTGCTATTCTTTACAGCAGGTTTTACCAAATCCCAAATAGTGTAAAATGAAGAATCAGATACCATTTAATCTATTTCAATGATACCACTCACCCCCACCACCACCACCACCACTAAAAAAAAAGTTGCCTTACAATATATCATTGTTAATGTCGGGGATCAAAATATATTTGAACATGTTTTTGGTATTATATAAAGACGTGTTCAGATGGGGTTGATGTCAGTTCCCTCTGTGATAGGATCATTGTCCATGCATATGGCATCTGTTATGTTTAAAGAAGCAAACAGTCATCACTTGCACGGAATGTCTATGAAGATTAATTTAGTGAGGTATTGTACAGGCTTGCGTGCACCCAGATAATGCATCCACAGAATAATGCCTAGAAGGAGAACATTTTTTTTTTTTGCTTCACAACACAGAGCCGCATGGCAATC